TATCTACTCCAACTTGTTGTAAAAACAGATTCATCATCACAATTAGCTCCAAACATAACAAATGGAAAATAAAGAAGTAAAAATGACTCAAGGTTGGGATAAACTATRAAAATCTACCTAATAAGCATAAGAAATAGGTACTTTAAGCATGTAATAAACCATGCTTATCATACCCCCAAACTTAAAGTGTTGCTTGTCCCCAAGCAACCAAATGACAAAAAAAAATGACAAGCAACCAAATGACAAAAAAAAAATGACTCAATATAGTAAGGTATACAAGATTAAGGCAGTAAGTGCACACATAAAGCAAAGCATATCATTTATGAACATCATAGCCCTTCATAAATTTTTAGCAAACCATTCATAGCCTACTTTTCATGTATGAACCATATGCTAGCACTAGTCTTTTCCTTAATGAACTCAACACACCTCTTTATGCTAGGGACAATAGAACTTTGTTTAAGGCTCTCCTCTCATTGGCTATCTTCTTTTCTCACCTTGCCTTTTTCACTTATGCTTCATCATTTAATTTTTTAAATTTTTGGCACTATGTGCTCTTTATGATGAAAGCATGCACATTGCCCCTATGGGACATTTTTGTGCAATTAAAACAGATCCCACAAAGGCTTTAGAGCTTTGCTCTTTTGTATTTGAAGTTGTGGCCTTTGTGGTATACCCTCCCCCAAACTTGGACTTTTGACAATGCCCTCATTGGCTATATATTGGTGGAAAGTGTATAAGGCTACAAGAGGCTTGTTTGAGAGTTTAAATGAAGAATGGCCTAAATCATACCCAAATGTGTATTGGTGTGCAAGTGGAATTTGGCTCAAGAAAAGACATATGCTAGTTCTAGCAAGAACACAATTAGTAGGTGAATGGCTATTTACCTTCAAATTTATTTAGGCTATGATATCAAGAACTATAAGCAATGATCATGTAATCAAGTATGAAAATAAAGCTAAAAAGTAAGAAAACTATCCCAAGACTCAAAATAAAAATAAAATTTGGAAGCTAAAGATGAATGAATGAACCTGTCCTACTCCAAGGGAGTAGGCTGTGTGGCTTGTGGCTCCATGGTTGTATCTCTAAGCTGCTCATTCTCTTCTCTTAGCCTCTTGTTTTGTTCTTTGAGATTCTTCAGCCTCTTTCCCATCTTGTTTAACTTTCCGCCCACCATCTTCTTCATTGGACCTTCTTGCTCACCATCTCCTCCATTTTCTTCACCTTCTTGCTCA